AATAATTATGGGGCAATTTGGCTGAGCCACATTGCTCATATACTTGGTCGAATATTTTTCTGGATGTTTCTTTGAGGGTTGTTGTTTTTATTTTTTAGATGAGATTAACATTTAAATTGGTAGATTTTGAGTAAAGGGGCTTACCCTCTATAATATAGGTAGGTCTCATCAAACCATTTGAAAGGCTCACTAGAACAGACTGATTCCCCATAAGCAAGAGGGAATTCTGCAGCAGACTGTCTTCAGATTTGAACTGCAATATTAACTCTTCCCTGTGTCTCCAGCCTCATGGTTCGTCCTGCAGATTTTGGACTCGCCAGCCTCCATAATCATGTGAGTCAGTTCTATAAAATCTCTTTCTCTCTCTCTCTCTGTCTGTGTGTACCTGTGTGTGTCTCTCTCTGTCTCTATCTCTGTCTGTCTGTCTCTCTATATATAAACAACTATTAGTGTAAGGAGCTACTTTGGGGGCCTGAGAAGAGCAAATCCAAGAAGCCCTACATAGATTAAGGCAGGCCTCACAGGACAGAGGGTAGTTTCCACCCCAAGAGGAATCTACTAGCATCTGTCTACATTAAAGTCTTCATCAAACAACAAATTTTACTCCAGGAGGAAGAGTGGGGCCTTCCTTCTCTGTTTTAAGGGCTATAGCCTTTCCTGCCTGCTTGACAATAGGCATCTTGTTCCTTTGAGGAGAGTCCCTAATTTCACTCAATACTGTAATCTAGCTCCCATTTCCCAGGAAGGGAAATCATTTACATTTTCTTCTCTAAAACTTGCTACATTTCTTGAGTTTTCAACAATGAGCTTATAGTACATTTATGATCATAAAGATGTTACTTAAAATAAATTAACCATTCATTAAATTTGGACACAATATTTAATAAATACTGGCAGATAGCTTTGTAACTTTCCCTACAATGTATAAATTACACATTGTAACTGTTATCATGTACTTTAATTACTGGCATATTTTGTCCAGATACCACTGTTAAACCAATTCTGCTTGGTGTCTTGTAAATAGTATTTCAGAGTATCCTCTCAATGGAATGGAAGTCTGCTTGAGATTCTCTCTCTTCCTTTCACACTGCTCCTCCCCCCACTCATGTGTGCATGCGCTCTCTCTCTCTGTCTAAAATAAATAAATACATCTTAAAAAAATTGTTTTGGCTATTTGAGGTTCTTTGAGATTCCATGTGAATTTTAGGATGAAATTTTTTATCTGCAAAAAATGCCTTTTGGATTTTAACAGACTGCATTGAATCTCTAGATCACTTTGTGTAGTATGGACATCTTAACAGTAAGGCTTTCCAATCCATGAACATGGGATGCTTTTCTATTTTGTTTATGTCTTCTTTAATGTCGGTAGGCAGTGTTTTACACTTTTCAGCGTACAAGTCCTCCACCTCTTTGGTTATATTTATTCCTGGTATTTCACTAATTTTGGTGGTATTGTAAATGGTATTGTTTTCTTAATTTCTTTTTTATTGTTCATTGTTAGTGTATAGAAACATAACTGATTTTTGAATGTTTATTTTGTATCCTACTATTTTCCTGAGTTTGTTAATTATTTCTAACAGATTTTTTATAAGAATCTTTAGGATTTTCTATATATATCATGTCATCTGCAAACAGAAATGATTTTATGTCTTCTTTTCCAATTTGGATGCTTTATATTACTTTTTCTTGCCTAATTTCTCTGGCTAAGATTTCCAGTGTTATGTCAAATAGAAGTGGCAAGAGTGAGCATCCTTTCCTTCTACCAAACCTTTGAGGAAAAGCATTTGGTCTTTCACTGTTGTATATGATATTAGCTATGGGCTTTTCATATATAACCTTCATTATTTTGAATTAGTTTCTTCCTATTCCTAGTCTGTTGAAAGTTTTTATCATGAAAGTGTGTAAATTTATCTAAATATTTTTTGTATCCATTTAGATGATCATGTATAACAGTTTTTATACTTCATTGTGTTAATGTGGTGTTTACATTAATTGATGTCTGAATCATTCTTGGATTCCAGGAATGAATCCTATTTGGTCATGGTATATAATCTTTTTAATGTGCTGTTGAAATCAGCTTGTTATTTTGTTGAGGACTTTGCATCAATATTCATCATGGATATAGGTCTGTAGTTTTCTTATGTTGCCTTTAACTTTGCCTGGTCTCATAGAATGAGCTTGGAAGTGTTCCCTTCTCTCCGGTTGCTTTTGTTTTTTGTTTTTCTGTCTGTTTGTTTTTGAAGAATTTCAGCAGGATTGGTACTAATTTTTCTAGACTTTTCCAGTGAAACTAATCTGGTCCTGGACTTTCTTTGTTGGGACATTTTTGATTACTGATTCAGTCTCCTCATTTGTTATTGATGTGTCTGGGCTTTCTATATATGAGTCAATCTTGGTAGGCTATGTGTTTTTAGGAATGTATCTATTCCTTCTAAATTGTCCATTTTGTTTGTGTACAATTGTTAATAGAATTCTTGTATATTTATTTTTTATTTCTGTGACATTTGTTGTAATGTCCTCTATTTTTTTTTTAAAGATTTTTATTTTTTATTTTTTATTTGAGAGAGAGAATGAAAGACAGCACGAGAGGGAAGAGGGCAGAGGGAGAAGCAGACACCCTGCTGAGCAGGGAGCCTGATGCAGGACTCGATCCCGGGACTCCAGGATCATGACCTGAGCCGAAGGCAGTCGCTTAACCAACTGAGCCACCCAGGCGCCCTCTCTTTTATTTTTTATTTTAGTTGAGTCTTCTCTCTTTTTTTACTAGGTATGTTAGCTAAGGGTTTTTCAATTTTGTTGATCTTTTCAACAAACCAACTCTTAGTTTCATTGATTTTTTTCTATTTTTCTCCTATTCTCTGATTGATTTCTGCTGTAATCTTTGTTATTCCTTTCCTTCTGTTAGCTTTGACTTTAGTTTGTTCTTATTTTTCCAGTTTCTGGAGATGTAAAGTTAGTTTGTTAATTTGAGATCTTTCTTCTTTTTTAATGTACATATTTTATAGCTATAAACTTCCCTCTTAGGACTGCTTTGTGTACCCAACTTTCAGGCCATAACTTTAATCAATATTAGGTACCTTATAAAGTGTGTTTAGTTATTATCCTTTTTTCCCCCACACTGGATCCTCATTCTTTTGTGTGATAGGTATTAATTGAATGCCTTTTCTGTGCCAAGCACTGTATTGTAGCTGGTGGACATCACAGACAAAAAAAAGAGCAGTTATCACAGTATAATAAAGACCTTAAGGGAAGTAATATATGGTGATAGAAGAATATGATGAGCTCTGTATCAACTAGATGTTATGTCTGCAAGCAAAAAATCTAAGTCATTTTGGCTGACAAATAAGGATATGTGCTGTATTATATAACTGGAAGTTCAGAGGAATGGCGAGCATCATGACTGTCTTGATCTTACAATTCTATCTCCCTTTCTCTGTGATTCTCCCAGTCTGTTCTCCTTTGTATTTTGGGTTCATGTTCTGAATGATAACAAGGAAGCTACAGCAGTTATGGGGTACACATTCAAAAGGAACAGTGTCTAAAGGAAGCAGAGAAAATATTGCAGGCCAAAAGGATGAGATTAACATTCCTTATAAATGGATTTCAACAAAGTTTTCAAGAAACACTGCTTACAACTATGTGTAATATACTCTAATTTTCTATTCTATTTAACTTTTTAAAAATTCTGGTCACCACTAAATATATTTATTTAATGACTGACCTATGGAGCACTCTCTAAGGGGTCAACAATTGCTTAGATCTGTCAGGGTCAATCCCTAGAGCTAGATACAGTCCCCAAAACTGCCTGGTGTTGGAGGTTGATAGCAAGATTTCAGGAAAGAGGACATTACAATGTCTGCCATAGGCTCCTAACCCAACCTTGACAGGTTGTCGTGGGAGGTGAAGGTATTTGAAGCAAAGTAACATTCAGAGAAGTTAAAAATTCATTATGGCCAGAATATAGAATAGGAGATCAAAAGTTTGAAGATGGGCATTGAAGGAATTTTAAGCAGTTGGGACTTATCCTAAAGCAAAAGGAAGTCATTAAAAATTTTAAAGCTGGGTGATAATAATAGGAAGGAAGATAATTCAAGGTGTAGTGTAAAAAATATCTTAGAAAAGTATGCCATGTAGCTGAGCTCATGGTGGGATTTAGAGGGGATGGGTATATGGACAAAGAGATTGAAAGGGTTAGAAGGATTCTCAAGATCTGTGTAGTACACCAAGGAAAATATTAGCCATTAGTTAGGAAACAAGAATATTGGCTAGATTGAAGGGGAAAAATGAGCTAAAATTTGGAAATACTGTGTTCCTTTGTCTTTGGGACTTTCAGAGATAAGAGTCTAAATCGGGATTTGAAAATCAGTAGCATAAAGAGAGAAATGGGATTAATCTGCAAGACTATGGGGAGTGAGAGAATCAGACAGGGGGAACCCTAAGGCATACCAACATTTAAGGGGTGAGCAGAAAACAAGCACCTACAAAGTCTGGAAAAGTGTAGCCAGACATGTGGGGAGACCTGGAGAATGTGATAGCAAAGAAGCTGAGGGAAAAGAATTAAAAGAGGAAAAGCAGGAAGTGCTATAAGGAGGTCAACTAAAGATAAATATGAAAATTGCATATTGGATACAGAGGAGAGATAGACAGAGAGAGATCCCTAACCATCCCTGGAGAATAATGCCACTGGAACTCCACGTGACTGGTGACCGCCATGTGCTTAAAGGGTGTGTTATCAAATGAACAAATGCTTCATTTCCATAAACTTGACTGTGAAGGGCAGGAGGGGCATCTAGCTTGACAAAGACAGACAGTTGAGGTAGGAATTTATTTTTGTTAAGATAGAAGAGACATGCAAATAACTTAAGTAAATATAACAGCACATTTTGTAACCACTAAGTTGCCTAGAATGTTGTAGCCAAGAGGTACTACATATGCCCTAAGAAACATACATTGCAGTAGATCAAAATGAATTGGTGTTCAGCACAATCAGTGTAACCTACTGCATTTTCACAGAGATAACACTTCTCCATCCTGGTTTTCCGTTCAGAGCAGGTAGTAGCCAAGGATCATTGTTATGCTCCTGCAGAAACAGTGCCACAACACTCCTGCAAGCAAAAGAGAATGGTTACAGGTGAAAATAGTCCTGCAGCCCAGCACAGGCCCTGTTGGCAACGCATTGCCCAACAAAATACAAGTGGTTTGCTCTCCCGGTCAGTACTTCCTCAGAAAATCTGCCTCCTAAGTTAACTACAAGGAATCCTTCCCCTTGGACAGAAAGTTAACTCCACAAGGGGTATAGAAACCACTACCTTTCCTGGTTTCTCTGAAGGCATTTGCATCATTTCATATCTCTATATTTCTAGGGGTACTAAGCATCTGTATTAATGGAACATATAGCTGGGATTTCTAAATTATGTGGACACACAATACTAAAACACAGTAGGTCAAAGAAAGAATTATTGTTCCAAAGGTTCTGAAAGACCAGTAAATTCCTCTACTCCCTATTTCGTTTCACCCTCCATCTTCAACAGGATAATGTCAACCCACTTTGCTTCATATTCAAGGCCCTATGAATCTGGCTTTCAGATTACCATCTTATTTTCCCTAGCCAAATACAGGAATTATTTAAGCCACCTGGTCTACCTTGCTAGCTGCTTGCCTTTGCACAAGCATTATGGAAAGTCATCCCCATTCTACTCCCTGTTCAATCCTCCTCAACCAACAGGTTCCACTACCTGCTGCATATTGTCTTCTCTGAACACTACCTCTCTTAATTACTTATGCTACAGGTTTTGATATCAACTTCATAAAAATTGTGGGTCATATATAGCTTCCTCTTATATATCAGATATTCATTCAAGAAGTATTGATTGAGGAGTTGCGAGGGGCCATACAGTGCACATAGAAAGTTCTTACAGTTCTAGGGGGAGATACAAAAGAACAATTGTATAATTGCCATTCAAACCCATATCTTTTGACGTGACCCCTAGCTAAACAGAGGACTCTAGAAGGCAATTTGTTGTACTAGGTAGCACAGTTTTGGAGTTAGAGATGCCTAATTCAAGTCTCAACTCTGTGTGAAATAGGGTAAACCAATTAACTTCTCTATAGCTCAGTTTCATCACTTGTGAAATGAAACCATTACTATCTACTTCTTAGGTTTCTTGAGAGAATTAAATAATGTAACATATGTAAAGTTTTCTTACACTAAGTGGTTGCTCACTAAACATGTACTGAATGAACAAATGAATCTTTAGATCTGTGTGAAATGATTAAGGTGATATATATGTAGGTATATACACATAAATATGTGAAAGTGAGACATAAGAATCAAAATTGCAAAAAAAAAAAAAGAATCAAAATTGTTGCTCCTGAAAGCTAAAGAAAATGAACACAAAAATATGAACAGAGAAAAAATATTATGACAAAAAATCCAAAAAGAAAAATGAATGGCTCTCATATTGTTATTTGTTAGATGCTTACTATGTGCCTAGCACTGGGCTAAGGAATTTAACTGTATCTCTCAAAACGAATCTGTGAATAACCTTACTTCACAGATATCAAATTAAAGCTTGGGAAGGTAAGTGACAAGGCTAAGAAGTATCATATCTGTTTGTGTATGTTTACTGCCCAGAATACTGACCATAACATGGCAAAAGATTTTTTAACACACATACAAGAATTTTTCACATCAAACCAGAATAAACTGCACCAAGGCTGCAACTCTAAATATTAAGTTTTCATGTTCTCTATGCGTGGCTGACTTGTTGGCATTCACTGAAAACTCAGTAAGTGTTTAATAAATAAAAGAGTAAGTTTTGTATCCAAATGTTCAATTTAGAATAGTCTTCTGTAGTCTTAGGAAAGTCACTTGTGTATTTCAAGTATTATGATACTGTTTATTTTCCAATCCCCAGCCCACACAGTTTTACAATTTGTGTAAAAAAGGGTTGTTTTTTTTTTTTTTTGCATTCCTGAAATTGAGGCATTCTCATCTTCTAAAAGTGGATGGGATTTTTGAAGATGATTAAAACTCATTCAAGGCCAGACCTGGAAAATAAAGAGTGTGAGCAGACTGGGCCCAACAGTTGTGGCAATAACTAAGTGGTCATACAACAGATCAGATAAATGAATTCAGGTAAAAGAGGTGTAACAAATACTCCTTTGCTGTTTTGCACATCACTGTCACTCCACTCAATTGTTTGGTAGATTTGATTGATGCAAAAAGCATGCCATAGAAAGAGTACAGATAACCGCCATCTTTATTTTCTATCCCTTTGGAGGAAATGCATAATCAACACCATGTAGAATCACTCACTAGCAGAATCTATCTCAAGATACTGCTTTCATCTGACATTGTGAGTTATAACACTTTGCATTTGTAGAGTGATTTATGGTTTTTACATATTCTGCAGTTAGTTAACTTCCCGGTGCCTCCAGGATGTAGTTGATAGTATTTTCACTTCCTTTTCCTCCCTGAAGCATTGCAAGGACATTTCCCTCACAGAGTGTTTCTGCCACATCATTCTAATCTAAGAAAGTGAGTAATTCTCTTTGGATTTTCACATTCTTTCGGAACTACTCACTTTTTTAAATCCCGTATTTATGTTGTTTTCAATTTGATTTTAAATTTTAAATATTAAATCATACCTATTCAGAAAAGCCCCTTTCTTGACATGAAAATCAGCACACATCACAATACCACCATACCAGAAGCACTGAGACAAAATATAGATTAATATGGCTACATAATTCAAAAATAAAAAATATTCACATAGCAATAAACATCATAAGCAAAGCCAAAAGATGACAAACTGAGAAAATCATTTAGCAATTTTATATGACATTGTGGGTCACAATATTTTGTACTTGTACAGTGATTTATGGACTGAACATAATTACATAATTGCCATTCAAATCGATATCTTTTGACCCCCAAGTAAATAGGACTCTGGAAGACAATTTGTTGTACTAGGCAGGGCACAGCCTTTGGAGTTAGACACACCTCAGTCAGGTCTCAACTCTGTGTTACCTAAGGTAAACCAGTAAAGTGTTTGGTGGCTCGGTTTCTACACTTGTGAAATTAAGCCATTACTATTTACTTCTTAGATTTTAATGTAATATAAGTGGTATCACTTACTTGTGGGATTTCAAAAAGAAAAAAAAAAGTCAAACTCTCAGAAACAGAGTAGAAAAGTGATTGCCAGGGGCCACAGCCCCTGTGGGAATGGAGAGAGGTGGAGAGAATGGAGAGAGGTGAATAAAAGGGTACAAACTTTCAACTATAAGATGAACAAAATCCAAGGATCTAATGTAAAACATAGTGACAATAGTTAATAACACTGTACTGTATAATTGAAATTTGGTAAGAGAGTAGACCGTAAATGTTCTCACCAAAATAAAAAACAAAACAAAACAAAAATGCAAGGCATGTGTTCATTAACTCAATGAGGGGAATCCTGACATAATGTTTACATATATCAAATCATCACATTGTGCACTTTGAATATCTTATAATTTTATTGTCAATTAAACCTCAATAAATCTGGGAAAGTAAAGTGAAATACATTACATACAGACATTTGGGAATCAAAAAGAATGATAATGGCAAGAACTTTAAAATATCAAAGATGTTAAAATGCAGTAGTTATTATTTTGCTATTATTAATAGTAGTAAAGCTAATTGGCCAGTACTGGAAGTTGCCAAGATCTATATCATGACTCTGATGATTGATAAAGCCATCTAGTTGCAGTTTCTTTTAGCTGTATTTGTGTGATCATGTGACAAAGTTTATTCATATTCTTTTTCCTGAGAAAATAAGAAGGGACCCATGGTGAAATCCCATTGGTATTTTCTCTTGTGTCATTTGGAATAAAAAGTAGAAAGCATCTCTCAGCATCTCAGGAGATTTTGCTACCTTCATATTTAAAAACAGGGTTTAGATACTGAGTGTATCAAAAGAAGGATTCCATTTCATGCCATTTCTGAAGACGTACAAACCGAAACCAGAATCAAGTTGATTGCTAAGCAAGGGGGATTTAAACAAGCCATTTGCAGATTTCATTCACTCTCAGTGCCTATATGCAATTGTGGTTTTTTTTATTATTATGTTATGTTAATCACCATACATGGTGATGGGTATTATATGCAATTGTGTTTTGAGAAAGATAGTAGACCATACCAAGCATGCTTAAGAGCAAGAGTTAGAATCTATTAGTACTTTGCTCCACCAAGACAGAAAAATAATTTCATGGTAATGTCAAGAGTTTCAGGCACTATTCAGAGATTACCCCATAACAGTCGCCTAGCAGAAAATTCCTATGATGAAATCAGAAACCACCCCATCAGTACCTCAGAATGTGACTGTTTGGAGAGAAGGTCTTTGCAGAGGTAATTAAGTTAAAATGAGGTCACTAGGATGACTTCTAATCCAATATGACAGGCATCCTTATAAGAAGAGTATTTATTGTTTTTAAATATTTTATTTATTAATTAGAGAGAGAGAAAGAGAGAGAGCACAAGCAGGGGGAGTGGCGGGCAGAGGGAGAGGGAGAAGCAGGCTTCCCGCAGAGCAGGGAGCCCAATGTGGGGCTCGATCCCAGGACCCTGGGATCATGACCTAAGCCAAAGGCAGTTGCTTAACCAACTGAGCCACCCAGGTGCCCAGGAGTATTTAGACCAAGATACAGACAGAAGGAAGATGATGATATGAAGACACAGAGAAAAGATGGCCATCTACAAGGCCATCTACAAGAGAGACCTGGAAGAGACCTTCCTTCATGACCCTCAGAAGGAACCAACCTTCCCAATGTGTTGATCTCAAACTTCTGGTCTCCAGAACTGTGAAAAAATAGATTTATGTTATTTAAGCCACCCAGTCTGTGGTGCTTATTTATAGGAGCCCTAGCAAACTCATACAAGGGCTGAACCATATATAGTCCAAATGGCAATTTCTTAACCACCATGATTGATGCCTGGAAGCTTGATTGGGGCAGCATCCACATGAGAGACAAAAGTATATATTCATGTAGATCCCTACATATTTCCCATATGAGGTATGGGAAAATTATGTAATTATAAAGGGTAGAAGTAG